ACTTACCATCCGGTGGCCTAGTTGCCACCGCCGGTGGAAATAATGTGAAAATTTGGGATGTGATTGGTGGTGGTAAGCTGTTGCATTCTATGGAAAGCCACAACAAGACTGTAACTTCACTATGTGTGGGGAAAATAGGGAAAGATAGTGGTGAGTTCTCAAACCAGTATCGGATTTTGAGTGTTTCATTAGATGGGTATACGAAAGTATTCGATTATTCAACATTGAAGATCACCAGCTCGATAAGGTATCCATCTTCTCTCATGTCAGTAGCATTCTCACCAGATTGCACAACTAGGGTGATTGGTACTTCAAATGGGATTCTATACGCAGGGAAGAGGAAAACTGATGAAAACCTGGGGTCTGTTAAATCTGAATGGGGAAAATACGTTGGTTTTGGAGCCATAGATGAGCCTGAAAAGAGAGTTCTAAGGCCTTCTTATTTTCGTTACTTCCACAGAGGCCAAAATGAGAAGCCTTCAAAAGGAGATTACTTGATCATGAGACCAAAAAAGGTGAAACTGGCTGAACATGACAAACTGTTGAAGAAATTTCATCACAAAGAAGCTTTAGTATCTGCTTTAAGAGCAAAAAACCCTGAAAACATAGTAGCAGTGATGGAGGAGTTGGTGTCAAGAAAGAAACTTTTGATGTGTGTTTCAAATTTGGGGATGGAGGAACTTGGGTTGCTTTTGAGTTTCTTACAGAGATACTCAACAAAGCCAAGGTATGCTGGGGTGTTGATTGCGTTGGCTAAGAAAGTTGTTGAAAACCGAGCTGATGATATTAGTGGTTCAGAGGAACTAAAAGGCCATATTCGAAATCTAAAGAGGTCAATCATGGAGGAGATAAGAATCCAACAATCTTTGCAAGAAATACAAGGTATAATTTCTCCTTTACTGAAGATTGCAGGGAGAAGATAGTTGATAAATCTCATTTGCAATTTTTGTTTCTCATCTTTAGGTTTTGGGGTTTAAAAAAGTTCTACAATTTTGTTTGACAGAAGTTAAATTGTTGTTTATTATTAAATTGTTGTATTTTGAGGGATATTATGTGACCTTATATTTTGTTTGATCCAGTTAGGGGTGTTACTCTTAGTTTATTCAGATTCAGGTCAAGTTTATCGTTCCTTTGCAAATTTACCCAAGCATGGTGATCCAATCGTACAATGTTTGGTAAAAGGGTTTTGATATAATCTTGACTAAGAAATAAGAACCCTACTTCGTCTTAAACCTTCAATATCTAGTCTGTAATATGGTCTTAAATTTTGAATCCAATCCAATGAAGACTCTTCCATAAATTTCCTTTTGTCAAAAAAAAAAAAAAAAGGTCGTGTGTTCATGGTGAAAGTATACATGTGCCAAGATTTGCAACTAAGGCTCTATAGGGCATGGTTTCAACTTATTTTCCAACACTTCTAAATAAAATGTAACAAATCCAATGTGTTTTTCCAACACTTCTAAATAAAATGTAACAAATCCAATGTGTTTTTCCAACAATTCTAAATAAAATGTAACAAATCCAATGTGTTGTCGTCTTCCTTTCGATGAGAGGCTTTAGCTTGCATGCTTTTTATTAATGGATCAAGTAGGCGACTTATTGTGTTTTCAAGTAGGTGATTTATTGTGTTTTCTTGATGCAATTGTGCTCTTGTGCCTGAGAGAGGTTGAGAATGAGATGAGAGGAGTATCGTTAGGGTTTTGAATATTTTCTATATTTATTATTTTAATAAAACATTTAACATTTATTAAAAATATATTAAATAATTACTAATATGTATATCGGGTCGAGGTTTGATTCGGTTCGTTTTTAGTGGGTGGTTTTAAACCCAAATCGAATTTTTAGGTTTTGCAAAATCTAAACCCAAAACCAACGGTTTGGGTTTGGTTTTGATTTAATCGGTTTTTGGGTTTCGTTTTTGCTGGACCCTAGTTAAAACAACTTGTTTGAATTAGAATAATGTCATTACAAGAAAAAAATATAAATTAAGAATAAGAGATTTAAGAGAGGATACTTTCATGATTGGCCCAAGAGAGAAAGGAATGTATCGGCCCGACACATGGAATGAATCACAAGTCACAACTTGGAATCTGGGATCTCGACTTTGCATGATAGTTAATACCAAGAGGGAGACTTTGTTATTGTTTGTTTTTTCTTTACGAAACTCTTTTTGGTCTCACATCACTTAGACATCAATCGTACAATAGCACTTGCATATTGTTTGTTTCTAGAATACCAAGACCTAAAAAATATCTCTTTTAAAGCAGATTAAATAAAATTTTTTCACATCTTCTAGCTTAAAAAAACATCTATATAGATTTTCCACCATGATTTCAATCTCCTTAACTATTGTATTTTTAAATGATTTCCAATAGATAAAAAAAAGGATTTCTAACTTAAAAAAAAATACTAACACCATCAAAATCACTATTTTCATATTTTTTTCTGCCTTTTAATCGAAATTAAAATAAAATATAGATTAAACTTATTAAAAGTCAGTTATTGATTATACATAAAGAAAAATAATTTTATTTAAATTTTAATGTTGAATTTTTTTAAGTATAAAAACAATTTATCTAAATTTCAATTTATTTTAGCAGTTTGTAGATTTAAGAAAACAAACAGTTTTCTTCTTGCAACTTTAGACGTTTAGTTCATCTTTTTTTTTTTTTTTTTTTTTTTTTTTTTTTTTTTTTTTGCAAATGTGATCTGTAAACTACATACATTTTACCTCTTAAAAAACAAAAAAAAATCATAGTCATATTTCCGGTTAGTCAAGAAGATATAGTTGTATTTACTTAGACCGATACTATACTCACACTTCACATTTCACATTTTCTTTGTTGCCTCATTGTCATTTCATTTTGAGTCCACTTTCCTTCACTCTTCAAAACTTATGAAATGATACATTTCACGTTAATTCACTACTTGGATATAAAAATTTAATAATAAAAATGAAAATATTTCATTACTTGGATATAAAAATTTCATAATAAAAATAAGAAAACATATCTAAAATATAACAATAATTAAAATACTACATCACGTCAAATTTTCTTTCGAAACATCACCAAAATCCTTGACGAACAAATTGGAATCTTCAAATCATTATGTAATCCTTGACCATAGGTTATATGTTATCCTCGTAAATATGTTCCACCAAAGTTGGACGAAGGGCGTGATTGACATAACAATCATGTACATCTTTTCAATTTGCCTTATATTGTTGCGTACCAACATCTACTCCTTTAAAAGTTGGCAATTTTTTGTTTTCATCGTAAGTTGGCTATTCGTTCTTGGTCCTACGGATCGCACCAAATGTTGTGACATGTGCATCGGCCGTCGGGTCTTTTGTGTTGGATCCGGATCGGAGATTTGGGGGTGGTGTCGTCAGCGAGTTTCCGACGAGATACCTAAGCTATCATCACAACAAAGTCGTTAGAGTAGCCCCAGGGAATGTGCCCCAAGAGAAAGCTCTGATGATCAAGTTAGATCAGTTGGTAGAGATGAGATGATTCTCCCTAGCTAGAGAGAACCATCTTGATGTGTTGGGTGGGAGTTTGGCCATCGAGGATCTAGGTAGAGAAGGTGACTAGAAGTTTGTTAGGAGTTGCCTCCTCATGGAGGAGGAAACATTCTATTTATAGGGGATAATTAGGTCAAGGGAGAATTAGGCCAAGCCTTGGACTAGCCTAACTCATGCTCAACTAGCAAGGAGCTAGGTAAGATCGCCCAGGCGCTAGGCACGACCGCCAGACAAGGTTAACAAGTGAGCGCCAGGAAAGTGCCAGGTAAGGCTGGTGCGTCAAGTCTTGATGTTTGGGCCATGCAAATGGACCATATGCTAACACGTCCCAAGCATACTGATAAAAAATTTCATTTTTAAACCATTAATTCCATACAACCATTTGTTTCAAAACTATTCAGAGTAAACTGTATTTTCCAAATATCATAATAGAACAAAGATAATCAATGCAGAAAAGCCATTAGGGGATGTTGTGCAGTCAAGTTGGGCCCTTTCCTTTGGAACTAGAAGTACTTGAAAAATGTTAAACCATAAACCGTAAGCACAAAGCTTAGTGAGTTCCCCAGAATACCATATACAAGATATGGAGTGTTATACGCCAACATAGTCTTACCATCACTATCATTCCATGAGCCACATCATGGTCTTTCCTTGCCATGCCGAGGGCCAAAACCCAGGTCTTACAAACAAGTGCCAAGAGGCACCTCCTGGTCTTCCATGCAAGCATCACAAAGATAACTAACATCCTATATATAATTTTCAGGTTTTAGACCATAGTCTTGCATACAAATTACCAAGAGCCATATCTAGGTCTTTCATACATTTGTCAGGGCCACCACCTGGTCTTCCTATATGGTATAGTGAGAAGACTCACCTCAATCCTGAAGACAAGATAAATCACCCACTCGATCCAACAATATCAAGCCTTATCTCGCTAAACATATCCATAACAAAACCTTAATTAACAATTAAGGAAATGGCTAACTCACGAGAGGGCTAGGCTCACAATTAAACCTTATTTGGGAAAAAGACCATTTTCCCTTCCAATACTAAGTCTACAAGTCAAACTGTTCAAAAAGTCAACGGTCAACCCTTAGTTGACGTACGCCCTTTGTAGCATAACCTACACCAAGCTTAGACCTACACTCTTTGTACTTAGGCTATGCACTACGTAGTACCCCTGATCCTAAAAACTTCTATTAAGCTCTTAATACAACAATCCAAACTATCAAACTCCCATATATGATCTAAATAAATGTCTTAATGAATAAAGTCTACGGCTTTATCCATTTACATGATCACAAAGAGCAAAAAAACAGAACCTAGGTCCATAAAGTTATTTTTGCTCAAGAACTCGTGCATGGATGGATGAGAGTGACCAAGCTCTCATTTTTATGACTCTATAACCTCAAAAAACATCATAAGGAGGCACTCAAATGGTTTGGAGTAACCCATACTCACAAGAACCATGATTAAGGGACAAAAAACATAAAACCCATGAGCTAAATAAATATAATCAATGGAACATCAAGATGAAAGCTTTATACCTTCTGGAGATTGGTTATGAAGTGAAAAGTTTAGATCTACAAAGCTTGGAGCTCACACTTGCTTCTCTAATGGACTCATTCTTCAAGAATGCACCCAAAGTTATACTAAGGCTTCCAAAACTCACAATTGATGCCTAGGGTTTCAAAGGAACGATTTGAGGTGATGGAGGTTGGTTATGGGATGGTTTAGAAGAAGTTAGAGCCCTTAAATTGGGCCCAAAACCTTATGGTTAGGGTTTTGGTCAGCATCAACTACGTTATACGTAGCATAATCTACGCCATGTATAGACCATTAAAGCTGTGATTCCCATTCAATTTCTACATCATGCGTAGCTCTCCTATGCTCGACGTAGGGCAAAACCCCTAACTTCTGATTCAACTTCGTCATCCATAACTATTTCGTTTCAACTCTATTTGCAGCGTTCTTTATATGAACATAAAGGTATTAATGTGCCCTACAATTATATCTAGGTACTTTTGGCTTAACACATATCGAACTAAAACCATAATCCATGCAAGAGGCCCGGCATATAACTTTTCCCATTTTACCCTTTGGTACCAACACACGAATCAAGGGCTTTGATCTCATAACCAATATTATCATCCTTCAATAAGGTCTAAAGTTTACTTCCTCAAAGCCCAAAGCGTTTACATGATTTAATTACGGTCCACAATGTAACACCGTAAATTTCAAGACAAATTTTTCATTTAAAATAATCATTTTATTCTTAGAAACACTTGTTTAAAATCTCATTCATAGTCGATTTACAAAACATGACTCCATTTTCACTTGCATAGAAAACCAGGATCCTCCAAAATATGACTCTTTCTCTGGTGTGTACAATCAAGTCGGTGCCGTCCCGTGATACTGAAAGAAACCTGAAAAAAACATCACACCAAAACA